TAAATTTAAATGTAGGTCCCTAATAAAAAATTGTATGAGCAGAGCAACACTGGTCTAGCACAAAATTTAACCAAAGGTCTATCATATCTTTGTCTATGATTTCTTTTTGAAATGCTTTAACATGCATTTAAAGAATAGTAATTACAAATTAAAACACAAATGTAGCAAAAAGCGTCAGTAGCGACACGAGCGGTAGTTAAATATTTGTGTGGAGGCAACATTGACGGCAGTCGTGTATACACGTCTCGCTATTGACACCATAAATTACGGTAAAAAAAAGATAAATTATAATTAAGACAAATCAGATATAATTTTTCGACATATAGTGTTTATAGGTAAGTGTATAATTAATTAATAATCTTTATCTTACAACAAACGGATAATTTTTAAGTGAATTTAGTTTAACATTCATAATCTGCAAATTCTCGCTGTTGTCAAATATAACTGCAAGACATATTATTATAAGAAGTGTCATTTCTAGCAGACCATAGTGATGAGAGGACCAATGTTTATTTTTCTTAATTATATGTGTTAAATGTACAATATTTTTACTGTATTAAACTTTTGTGATTTGTTACTATTAGAAAGAGGTACCTAGAGGAGGTAGGAGGAGGATACCAGGAGACCTGTAAGGGTTTACTAACTTTGTCTTCCTATCTGCCTTCCATAAAATAATTAATTAGAAAGTCAAAATACGTTTGTGACAGCGTGCGATAGAAAGAAGTATTCTTGGAGTAAAATTACGCGACCAACAGAAGTGAATGTATTCGCAGAAAAACAAAAATAAGTGATGCTGAGCAACATGTGCTACAACTTAAATGGAGATGGGCAGGGCACGTAGCCCATTATACAGATAACCGAGATGAGGTGGTCTAAAACAGTAACCGAATGGACTAGTCCGACAGGAAAAAGGAACAAGGGCAGACCAATAGAGCGATGGGCCGACGGGATCGGAAGTGTAGCTGGTAAAAATTGGATGACAATGGCAAAGAATAAAATAAGGTGGCCGTATCATAGAATAGTAAAATTCTATTTATATAAATGTATATCAATAAGATGTGTATGGATAAAGGCTTATTATTATTGTTATAATAGAAGATAAATAAAGAATTATTAATAGTCCCAGAAAATCCAAGTTTCATTGAGTCAGTAGCTCAGTAGCACTGATTGGCTCAATCGTCGTGTAAACACGTGCGCGGTCACACGCTCTGATATTGTACTAGGTACATTTACCGACGTGCTGAGAATATATCTACAACTATATATAATGTACTCTAGTATACTATAATAATAAATAGAAATAGAATAGAATAATTTTGTGGAATAGCGCTCTACTAACTAGCACAGGGTGCTCGCAAATGTAGAAATCCTTTTTTATAATGTGCAATATAAAAAATAGATTTACGCATTCTCTGTACCAGTTAAGGACAAAGAGGTTTGTAGGACTCGGCCAAATCCCAGCTTTCTGCTCCTCAGTATCACCTACACCTCCAGACTAAGAAGTACTTCGAACTCGGCATCTCAGAGGCCTTCTGGCTCTCATCACGTTTTACCGGGGCTTCATTCGGTCTTAGAATCTACCTAGATTGAAAAATTAAGTTTATTTTGGTAAATTTAATTAATTTAAGGACGTCAATTGTTATCAGTGTCTTTAAATATACCTACATTTAGTGCCAGAAATCAAGGGCGTAGAATGGACGAGAACAGACAAGAAACTCCACCACTCGTTTAAATCGCCAGCTGTTTTAATGAAAAGTAATATACTTCATACATATTGAAAACTCACACTTAACAAAGGGGGTTTTAAGCGTAATTGTTCGTCTTGTAAATACTTTATAATATACATTATTAGTGTGATAACTTATAATATATAAATTTAGTGTGTATATAACCTATTACCAATATTATTGAAGTTATACTTCTTTAGGCGCGTTATGAAAATTTGATGAGAGTGAAATTTTACGATGCGCGCGCACCTATGACACAAAATTCGGAGTGTGATTATAGCGTGCGCAATCTACAAAAGAAATAGAATATAAGCTAACTTCACGCATATTCTATTTCTTAGCTTAGCAGCTTAACAAGAATTTTGAATATCCATGACAATTGACATCTGACAATGACATTTACCTTTTAAACAAATATAGGAGTTTGAATTATTGTTTAAAATAAAAGATTCTAAAAGTACCTAGTTATTTTCATTATACAAGTGCGAATTTTATATGTGCGTCTGAATTATAATCAGAAATTGAATATCTAAATCAATACTAATTAATATGATAAAATATTTGTGAAAAAACTGTGCCAACCTTCCTGAGTGCTTCAATACAATTGAGGTTAACTATCCGTATGTATTATCGAGTTTTATTGTTGATTAAAACTGAAACATGAACTTAATTAACTTTTGTTTATTGCGTTTGTTACAGCAACTTTTTAGAAATATTCTACGACCCTATATATCAATAATTGAGAACAAAGATTTAAGCACGAATACTAATAAGGAGAAAATGAAGGCTTGGAGCGATATTACAGAGAAGTAAACATTTTAATAAGTACCTGCATCTCAAAAAAATGATTACATTATTTAATCAAAACATGTAATTTTTCAGATTTAATCTAGCAAATATAAGGACAAGAGACAAAAAACAATTTCAGTGGAAGTGCACTAAATTGAATAAAAAAAAAGAGTTGTCATCTTATCGCCGTGAAACATCAAAAACAAGAGGTGGAACAAAGCCACCATCACCTTCTCCAGACACAATGGATATGGCAGAGATGATACCGCAACGGTTTGAAGTAGATTTCAATGAATTTGATTGTGATGGTGTCGAGGTAGGAATGTTAATTATAAATATGATGGTGATGTTCAAGGCTCAACCTCTCAAGCATAGGCACATACTTTATTCCCCTACAGGGTAGTTAGAGATATTGTAATACCTCAAAACATCCATGTTGCTCTTGTAGTACCGAAACTCTGTCCAGCCAGAAGTGAGCCCATTCCCACTTATAATGGACAGTGGGTATAATACACCTTAATACCTGAGTGCGAACCACTCACCATGACACTTAAATTAATAGATGTTATTTATATATTTCAGGATATTACAAATAAAATCATTTTGGAAACAATTGCTATCCCAAAAGCAAATAAAGCCAACAATGACAAGGTAATAAATCAGTTTTGACATAACTAGAATACTAAAAAAGCCAAACAAAGGTGTGCACAACAGTGACAACATAACTTAACAATTTCATTATTTTGTAGGATTAAAGAAAGGTTAAAGAAAATCATGTCGAACTGATCAACAAGAATCCCCAAACAACTCAAAAGAAACCTACAAGGAAGACACCGGTATTATATTTAAATTATCTCTATCTCTAAATAGAATAAAAGAAAGTTGCTATCCAGGTCTGTAGCATGTGCTACAAATTATATTATTAACACATTTATATAATTATATTAATATAAATGTGTTAAAATTTTTATAATATGAATTATAAAATTTTTTTATTTTGTAAGAGAATAATTATAAATATTTATTTATTAAATTTTTCAAATGTAAACTGAACTTTATTGACTATAATGACTCCTTTTCCAGTCTTTGATTATTTAATTATAATTAATTATTTGCATGCAATCAAAATCTATTTCTAATAATGCCAAAGAAGTATAACTTCTTACGCGCGTACATAAGTACACGCACCCTTTTTTTATACATCATAGTTGTTGCGTAGTTAGTGAATTTGACGTCCATTTTATGGTTACTCTTGAACGTGGACTTGGGTGTAATTGAGTTTAAATAACGAATGAAATCATACACCTACAAGCTTTTGCCAAGTTATCAGAGTTAGAGGGATTTATTAATTATTACTACTATTAGTACCTTCTTTTAACTAATATTTTTAAATAAGTATCAATGCCAGAAGCACGTTATAATGAATACGTTTACACCTATTTTAAACTTTATAATATAAATAAAACATATCCTCGCAATACACCATTACATTTCTATGTTTGTATGCAAACAGAAGAATAAAAGCTATATTTTGTAGTCACGTAAGCGGGCGTGGCTTTGAGTGGGCGGGGTCGGCTATATTCGTGCCTAGACGTGTTCCTATAAATAACTTGAGGTTAAAGATTGTTAAGAGAACCGTAACTTGATATAATTAGTTCTTGTATGTTGTGATTCAAGTTTGCGTGATTTACATTATACACCTTGTTAATTGTTTTATATCACCAATCTTGGAGGAAAATGTTCGTATTAAAATAAGGAAAAAGATTTTGTTTATTAATTTAAGTAGGTATGTATTGCATTTTTATTGATTACCTATATTTTTCATTATAAATTAATCTAAAATCTGTGTTGGTAAACAAAAACATAGGGATCACAGTTATTACGATATTGTTTTTTCAATATCCATAATTTCATAGTTACAGAGTAGGCATCGACGTAGTACGAACTTAACATATTTTTTATCCCCTTAAGGCTATTTATTAAAATATTGCCAGTTCTAAAAAAAACCCTTTGATCAAATGATGCATTTAATGACGTCGCAATAAATAAAACAACAATTACAAACATCTGCCGAAATAGACGAAACACAAAGTGATTTGTCATAAGTCATAACCCATTAAAGAGGCGAATTCGATTAATGATTGCCGCGATCATACAAACCGGTCGTTAAAACCTAAACACTATAAAAAAAAACAATATTTGCAGACCATGACAGATCTGGTTATATTGTAACGTAACCCTAACACGACGCCGCAAAACATTGACCCTCTAAAATACAAACACGAGATTCGCCCAACGGAAAATGATACCTAGGCGCGAGGGGTAAGGTACATCTCAGGTGTATCCGTAAATTGGTCACCCCACATTCTCGCAGTACTGCAGATAGGAGGGGTCTACGACTGGGCGGGCTTTGAGGCGGGGTCTCGCGTACCAGTTGCACAGTGAGCTTAGTCGGACGCGCGCGGCTCGCAATGCCGCACAAAAATGAGTCCGCCAAGTTTCGCCATACGAGACCTGCTGCCGGAAGCGACCTCCAGGTCTCCCTCTCCTTCAGATACGGAACTAGACGTCACCGGGACGGAGACACCTCCGCCATGCTCCTCCAGAAGCCCAGATGAAAAAAAAAATGAAAAACCGGCGTATAGCTACAATGCACTCATCATGATGGCGATTAGAAGCAGTCCTGAGAAACGGCTCACGCTTAATGGAATCTATGAGTATATTATGAAGAATTTTCCGTATTACAAGGAGAATAAGCAGGGCTGGCAGAATTCTATACGACATAACCTCAGTTTAAACAAGTGTTTCGTGAAAGTACCGCGGCATTATGATGACCCTGGTAAAGGAAATTACTGGATGTTAGATCCATCATCTGATGACGTGTTTATTGGTGGAACGACAGGGAAGTTGAGACGGCGTTCAACTGCTGCATCCAGATCGAGGTTAGCTGCGTTCAAACGAGGGGCAATTTTACATCCTATGTTTGGTAATCCGTATGCGTCGCTGGTGGGACTCTACCCGCCTTTGTTATCGGTCTACGGGCGGTATGCTCTTCCAAGTCCGCTGTTGCGGCTGCCGCCTCCACCGCCGAACCCCTACCACCATCTTTATCGAAGGATCCACGGTTTGACGCCGTCAGTGAGTCCTCCAGACGAATCCGACATGAAACATAGTTGATTTAGTTAATTCGCGTGATATTTATCGAGATATCCCGCTGAAGACTCGAAGTGACTGTGATAGGACGTGTAGATATTTGCAAGTATCTGTACAGTGGCCGTATTTATTTATTAACTTAAGATTATAAGAGGCTAAGTTATTGAAGGAATTTGAAACTGTATTTATTGTAATAAGTTGCAAGTGGTATGAGATTCTAAGAAATTTATTTGATGAAATAAAATGTGAATACGAAAATGAGGTGGTTTCAATTTATCTGTAATACCTAATAGGATAATCGTTATCTAATAGGTATATAAAATTCTCGTGTTACAGTTTTCGTTGCCATACTCTTCCGAAACGGCTTGACCGATTCTCATGAAATTTTGTGTGCTTATTGTGTATGTCTGAGAATCGGACAACATCTATTTTACATCCCCTTAAATGTTAAGGGTTTTAGATAAATTACTTATTTTTGTATGTATTTTTTTATGATACAGCATAAAAAAATACATACAACCCCTAACTTTCACCCCTCTTCGATCAACCCCTATTTTTATTATAAATGATATACATGGCAAAATGACGTTTGCCGGATCAGCTAGTTTCATATAAAACATATTTCTTTAATACCTACTTACTCTTGATGGAGCAGTGTTGGCACACAATGACATTTAGTATCAAATGACTTAGCTTGTTCTGTAAATGAAAGCACTTCTTTAAAATACAACAATTTTAACTAAAATAAACGTAAAGACAATAATGATAGAAATGAAGCACAGTGGAGCTTAAACTATCTCTGTAAAACTAATGTGATATTCAAACATTATTAAATACATATATCTACTTTATATGATTTCTTATGAGCAGTGTTGGCCTAGTGGTTAGACATTCCCTCGAACGGTAAAGAAAAAAACCTTGTTGAAACCGCATTAGACCCAAAAAGTAGTGTCGCGTGTGTCTGGCAAGGAGGCTGAGCACCTACTTTCCTATTAGATTGACTAATGATCATGAAACAGATGCACAAATCTGAGGCCCAGACCTGGTTGTAGCGCCACTGATTTATTTTTATTTCACTTTTGATCGATTTATAGCAACGACTGAAGAAAGTATAAGATTTAGACAGTTCATTATTTAGTTACATTAAAATTTAAACATAACTTTGAACTAAAGTATAACAGATGGCGCCATAATGGATTTTAATGGGTTTAACACAAGGGCTAACCTAACCAATATATCGTCATGGGGGCCTACCATGAACTCTTATTGCGAGCCTATTGACAACCTACAACTGAGATGCATCGCTAATTCGTACCATGACATCGAAAAAACGAGACAGTTTATGTTCCCACGTGACCTTAGCGGTTATCAGATTTCGTTCGTTCAATTTGTATGAAAATCCGTACCATGACCGCTCGGCTGAACCGAAATTTGACAGTCGCGCCTTCCAACTATGACAGAATAAGCGATTCTAAAAAAGTTACTTTTTGTTCAACTTTTTTGTATCGAAATGTCCAAATAATAGTTTAGAACCTATAAAATTCAATATTTGTATTAAAACTTGTTAATAAAGTTAAAATAATAAGATTTATCTACTATGGCTAATATAGGAAAAAAAATATAATTTTTATATTTACGATATTTTGAGTTTAGAGTGTGATTATAAATAAATTATTAAAATATAGACGGAGATGAGAAACAAGACGGCAATGCCCTTCCGACTTCGTAGATATTGAGTTTATAATTTACTATAGATTGACTTTGATTCATTGAAGATTTCAGTGTACCTACAAATAATTGCACATTGTTCAATAATATTCAATTAATTATTTATGCATGTCTAACAAAAACATAATCCCCCAATATAATATTTTACAATAAATAAGAATGCCATATTACTAGCAGATATTTATTATAATTAAATTTTTCCTCACTATGTTCATGAATTGTATTATTCTTCTCTGCTTTTTGTTGTTTAAAAAAACATAGGTATTTTTAAATTTATAATGTGTAAATAATAAGCCATTTAATATATGACTCCATCAAGATAGAAAAAGATGTCTTCGGCAATGTTCAATTGGTTATAAACATTTATTCATATAGTCTCAATTTAGCGATTTTGTCAGGTTAAGCTGTAATAAAAATTATTATTATTATTATAGCCTCTTTATTTCCATAATGAATAACATATTAAACAAGTATATCATATGATTAATTATTACATAATATGTGCATGCATTAAAAAATACAATATTATTATTTATAATCTTTAAATTATATTCCAATCATAATTAATAATTTCAATGTATATAAGTTTGAAATGATAAATAAATTAATATGAATCAAAAACAAAATTCATTTTTATAAATCATTAAAAAGTATCATTAAATCGTTATGGAACCCTCTACGGGTAAAGGCCTTCTCCATTTTGCTCCACATCTGTCTGTCTTTTGCTTTGGTGGTCCAGTTTTCACCAGCTTTTCTTTTTATTTAATCAATCCAGTTTTACATTGGTCTACCTCTTAATCTTTTTGTTGGTTCTCGCCAGGTTACCCTTGGTGTCCATTTTTCCTTGTCCATGCGAGCAGTAAGACCCGCCCAATTCCATTTTTGTCTAAAGCGTCTATTATTTTTGTTGTTTTCCTTATTTCTGTATTTCTCTTCTGATGTTGTCTTTGTATGTTTAGTAGACTCCTTTCCATCGTTCTCTGGCACACTTGTATTTTGTTTTTGGTGTAGTTGTAAATCCATGTCTGGAAGCCATATTTAAGACAATGTATTAAATATGAGTCCATAATTTTTTTCTTAAGTTTTAAAATTCTGATTTAAGGGTTTCTTTATTGCTCCAGGATTTATTCCAGGTTATGTTGACTCGTCTTTTAACCTAATCGTCGTGTCTTGTCTTTGAGAAAGATACTTGTTGACCCAGGTAAACATATTGTAATGTACTGTTATTAATCTTTATTGGAATAGTTTGGTGGTTCGTCATAATAATAATCTTTCATTTGATAGAAAAGATTTTGCATTGTAAGTGCATACATCGAAGTTTTGTAGTGGAGATGGAAGGTTGTAGTCATTATCTCCCGCGGTGACCAGCCGTATTGGGAGATGAAGAGGGGCTTTCCTGTAAAGAAAGTATAATTATTTATATTATATGAATTAGTTAACGTATAAATTGAGTTTGTACAATTTGAAGGAATTATTTTTTATTATAGTTACGTATGATTTTAGAGTAATAATTTGTAATATCTTTTGCAAAGGGTTTTATATCAGTAATTCACTTCGTTATAGGTATTTATTTTTAATAAACAAATTTGTGAACAATACTTACCCCATACCATTATTTTTTAAGTTAAACAATTTGTAAATATATTTATAAAACCGAAATTTTGTAAACACCAAAATATTGAAGGCTCCTATCAAAATTTGAAAGAAACGTTTAAAAATAATAAGTGTCAACTGACATAGCACCAGAGAACTTTCCGTTTAAAATATATCAAAAGAATAGTTTTATATAAAATAAATATATATATTAAGACATAATAGCTTATTGTGATTGATGAATTATTTAAAATAATTTTATATTTTATTTATTTTCATAGAAACATCTGTCGAAGTAAGTTTGACAGTTAAATTTCTAAACGTACTCAGAAACCACAAACAAAATTATCGTTCTTTCATTCGGTCTTGCGATGGTAATACGTTTCAGCTTATAGGCAGGCATGGTACGAAAAAATGCTATTGACTTTAGGTACCTAAACTCCGCTGCATCTCAACTGGATTGTTTTAAGAAAGTTCATGGTAGGCCCCATGCTCGTAGAACAATGACGGATTTGAAAAAAATCCAAAATCTACTCTTTGTCATATTTGGATACTACATTGACTAAATATTACGGCTACATTAAAAAAATCCATGTGTTTTAAATTTCAAATTAATCAGTCGGTAAAGTGACGGAAATGATAGTAAAATGAGATTTTTATAGAAACTGTAATTTAACGTTAGTATTTTTATTTTGTTTCAAAACAAACCTTTTTTGTTTACTTGTATGCCAATTTTCATAATAAAAGTATATGAATTAAAATAGTTATGACAAAAACTAACATGATTATATTATGTATTTAGAAATGGCTGCCCAGTAAAGTTTACTATTTGTCAGATCCGTCACTATTCTACGACTATGACGATATGTATTTCGTATCTTATACGTAAATTTGTTTTCTCTAAATCTACGCAAAAATACTCTAGACTAACTAATTTAAGTACCTAAGGCTTTTAATTGCATTAAATTATAGACGAAGACAGAAGTAAATATTTTTAGAAATGAACCCAATAAACGTTTAACATGGAGGAAACACATTTCTTCGTCTGTTTCAAGTATCATTCAAGCCTTAATGAGTCTTATTTATAGTTTTGTCGTTAACTCAAACGAAAACATGACCACGGAACAATGGAGTTTTTCGATTATAAAGGAATAGCATATCCATATACCATTTAGTTTTTAGAGAAAACAGTTAAATAAGAGCGGGATAGCTCAATAAAAAATACATTAACTTATTGGCAATTTATTAAAATAAATATATCTAAAACCAAAAACCTTAACATAAGGCAAAACAGATGACGTTCATATTAAGATATCGAAGTATTCCAAATTATATTAAGTATTCAATTAAATATATAACTAAGTATACCTACCAGTTTTCCAAATAGGCTGCAGTTCCTCTGTATATTGCAACTAATACTCTTTACTTTGCAATAATTGTAATGAATTAGTTCAAAGTAGTTATAAAGATTATATTAATAATTTCGTGTTGTCAAAGACTTGCAAAAGAATTAAAGGCTTTATGCACAGAAAGAAGAATGTTACAAACATTTATCAAGCCATAAAGATACCATAGGTCCTTTGCTAAGCTGTCGTTAGAGTATTATATGGGTTTGATTCAAGCAAAACAATTTTGTCGTGCTTATACATCGGGTTATTATAGCCATACTTGATCAGCTTTTAACCCTAAAATTTAATCATTAA